AAATATGTACATATGTAATAATATAGAGTCAAAATATATAACTCAAAAATTGATAGCATCACAAGGAGAAACAGCTAAATACACAACTATGTGAAAGATTTATTTCAATAACTGATAGATTAATCAGACAAAAAGAATCAATGAGGATATAGAAGATTTGAATATCTGGAAGATATAAAGTTTAATGAATATACTGTATGTTAAACACTGTATACAACTACTATAGAATATATTTTATTTTCAAACACATAATGATATAGTACATTTTAAAAAACTGTCCACCTACTCAAACACAAAACAAGTCTTAACAAATTTTAAGAAATGGGTATCATGTAGATGTTTTCTGATCAAAATTGTAATTAGGCTAGAAATCTGTAACAAAGAGATATTAGGAAAAAAAATAGAGAGATTTAAAAAATCTTCTAAATGACTTTTTGGTTAAAGAAAAAATCATAATGGAAACTGTAAAATACTTTAAATTGAACTATAATAAAAACAGCACATATCAAATATCACATAGCTGTAGGATGAAGCTAAAGCAACACTTATAGGAAAATTTATAGCCTTAAAAAATGCTTACACTAGCAAAGGCACTGAAAATTAATAAGTTAAACAAGATTAGAGCAAAGGCACTGAAAATTAATAAGTTAAACAAGATTAGAGAGAGTACAGTAAAATAAACACAAAGAAAGTCAAAATGGGAAGACAAAGATAAGAGCAGATATTAACAAAATAGAAAACAAAATACAATAGAGAAGATTAACCCAATCAAAAGTGTGCCCTTTAAAAAACTGACAAAGCTCTGGTGAAAATGATGAGGAAGAGAAGAATGAAGGCACAAATAAGTATTAGGAACTAAAAAAAGGAAATAATACATATTCAGTAGAGATTAAGAGAATATTATGAACAATTCTATGCTAAAAATGTAGATAAAATGGACAACTTCATACATAAATACAATCTATTGAAATCATTCTATAATGACTTAAAAATTGAATCAGTAGTCAAAATTCTTCTCACAAAGAAAACTCTAGGCCCAGACAATTTTAATGTTGAGCTCCATCAAATTCAAGGAACAAATAATTCCAAATTTACATAAACTAGTCTAGAGTGCAGAAAAAGAGGAAACAATGCCCAGTTTATTTTATGAGGCTAGCATAACCAGACAGAGGGAGTAGAAAAAAAGAAAATAACAGGCTAATATAAATGATGGACAGATGATAAAATCCTAAACAAAATATTAGCAACTGAATCCAGCAATGTATAAAAAAGGTAATGCACTATGACTAAGTTCTCTTTATAATAGGAATGCAAAGTTGGTCTAATATTAGGAAGTCAATTATTGTAATTAACTACATTAACAGACTAAAAGAGAAAAGTTATATCATCATTCCAAGAGATACAAAAAAGCACCTGATAAAATTAACATTCCTTCATGTTAAAAAAAACAAAACCAAAAAAAACAAAAAAAAAACCTCTTTACAAACTGGGAATAGAACTTGTTTAACCAGATGTTAAAGGGTATCACAAAAAACCTAATGCCAGGGTCAGCAAAGCACACCGTGCAGGACAAATCTGGCTTTTTGTCTTTTTTAGTTAATGAAGTTTTAGTGGAACACAGGTATGTCCATTCATTTATGTATTGTCTACGGCTGCTTTCTAACTGTGAGCAGTTGTGACAGAATAAGGCCTGAAGAGCCTTTTAATACATTAACCATCTGGCTGTCCAGGAAAAGTTTGCTGACTCTAACCTACAGTAGTAAACAAGTTACCAAAAAGTCAGATTATACCACTAATGAAGTATCTTAGAAACATTTCCTTCTAAAAAGTAAAAACACTATCTTACCTTTTGTAGGGTGTTAAAAAATGACTCGGAATTATTTTTAGAATTGGCTTGCATTGCAGTTTTAGTTAATCTGAAATCTTTTTCACATCGTGCTAATTCCTTTTTGAGTTTCTCTCTTCGTTGTTGGTCTGCATCTAAGAAAAAAAAAATCTTTTAAAATATGGAACCAAATAGAAAAATTAATTTTTTGGTCTTGTTAGACTAATAAATGGATTTTTTTCTTGCTAAAAATGTTCATGCTAAGATATGTAAATAAAATTCCATATACTTTTCCATATAGATACTAGCAAATATTTAATTTATAGAAACTCTAAATGGATTAACTTATTTATAAGGAGCACAAAAAAACATGACAAACTGGCCATGCCTAAGGGCTTAAAAAAGCAATTCCTGTCAGATATTTATAGAGATAGGAAGGTTAGAAATGCTTAACCATGTTGTTTGTGACTGTGTAATCACCAGATACATAAGGTAGAGTTTGAACTAGTCCACAGACT